CTAACAAAACCTAATTAAGTAAACAGAACATGCAATGAAAAATATAGTTTGTAATCATAACATACCAACTGGATAGTACTGCGCAAATGATTTTCGGTAGATAGCACTGAATTCAACCAAGTTGATGAATGGATCTTCTGTCTGTGGCCTGAGAGTTCCAGTCTTTGCCTCGTGTGTCAGGATAATTTGGTGACTGTGGTTTGTAGTCCTTCCCTTCATTTCCCATTCAGAATTGGCTATCCGAAAATTAGTTAGCCTCACCCATCTTCCTTCGGTACAGACATATTCAAAATAGGATAGTGCTCTGTTTGTAGCAAATCCATTGATCCTGTTACCCTGAAATAGTATACAGAAATATTAATAAAACTATGTAAACATATCAATCAAACAATGGATAAGTAATGACAAATATATAACTTACATTCTCGTCAACAAATATGAAGTTCATTGCCGGTAAGCCTGCGTCGTCTTTAACTGACCAGCGCTTGTAAACCTTGACCTTAATGATCCAATCATCCCTCCATGCATGAAGTTCGTTAACACCTGCGTACTCACCCATTAGATTCTTCTTTTTTGGGTAAAAGATGGAGTTTTTGGAAGACAGAAGAGAGTAGGGTTTTTTCTAGATGTACGAATGGAAAGATAAACGTTTAGTAGAGAAAATGTAGTATATATAGATAAAATATTAAACAGATGCGATGGTTGTTATTTTTTGGAAAGTTAAAATATTTTTGGAGAGTTGCAACGGTTGAGAAGATTTGGTATATAGATATGAGGAGGCAGTTATTAATATGAGAGTAACTGTTTCTGATTTTTTTTTTATTTACAAAGACAATGTATGTATTGATAGACGATATAATATAGGGAAGTAGGAAGTTGGTATATATCAAGTCAAAGTTATTTAGGGAATAGATTTACATGAACATAGATTCTCTAAATAATGAATATACTGACAATAACGTTGAAAATCTTTTATTGAATCTTTAAAGATAAAATTATTTCCAATGTTATCAATGTCTATGGATGGAATGGTTTGTTCAGATTTGATAGTTGGATATTAAGGACATGTATCAGATCAAGTGCATCGCAAAAACAGAATTCAACATTGCAATGATAATCATTGAATGAATAGTAACTTGTAATATTTGTATCATATAGTCATATTCTGTTTACTGATTAAAATAATGAGTATATACAATTAATTCACATATTTAAGAGACAATATGGAAAAAATTTAAGGAAATAAAATAAGAAAACTAAACTATGTTTATATTTTCATATGAAATAATTTTTCGAGACAACTGAATATATTTCTAAACCCTATCTCATAATGCAAATTTCAAACATATATATACATATCAATACTATGAGATGTATGTATTATGAGAGAAATTTTATAATACTAATAAGCAGACAATTTATATAGATAAATCAAAATATAATGTCAAAATATTTAAACATAACAAAAGATAAGAACATAATGTATCTTATTTATCATCCCACAGGAAAGTTAAAAAAATAATCAATATTTCATTTCTTCTGCTTCTTCGATGATGATGTAGTTTCGGCATCATTCTTCATTGCTCCTTTTGACTTGTTTGATTTCTTCTCATTATTCCAAAACCTAGTTAGACAAATGACATATATAAAAATAGTTATGATTTATGTAAACAAATTAGTGAAAAAGTAAGATTGACAAAATAAAAATTATTACATTTTACAAAAGGATTCCGCTACTTTTAACTCAGGGTGAAATTCAAATCTTGTTATTCCACCTCTGCTTTTGAGATATATATTACCTGTAAATAAACACGTGTATTTTAAAAATATGTCACCATATTTATAAAAAAGATATAAAGAGTTTTACTGTAACACAAACCTCCATCATTTTTGATACTCCAATCAGTTAGAAGACACAAAGCAGGAATTTGTCTAACATCCCATATTTTGTTATTGAAATCAACAGCTAATTGTCCTACGACATTGCACTGAATCTGCATATCACTACACGAAAAATATGAAGTATATAATTACCCTTTTAGAAAAACTTAAACTATAAAAAACAACATAATGAGCAATGCTTACTTGTGATCTTTCATTGTGAAAGTAATAGAAGGAGTCATTTTGTTAGGCCTATTTGGGCAAGTTTGATCTTTTATAACCTTTAGTTCTTCTGTACTAATAACAAAACCCAAAAGATCTGTATACATATATATATAAGGACCTAATCAGTTCTTATCAACCTAAATATTATACACCTATCACAATAAATATTGAATTTGAATATAAAGTTAGAATGTTTACCAACAGGGAATTCAGAATCGGCTTCGCCTTTAAGAATTTCGGGGAAAGAATAGAAGCCTTTTCCAGATTCCACTTCCCTTGGTTCAGTATCAGTTATAGTCGTATTTTCCAATAACTGTATAGACCAACCGATTGGAGAATTTGGTTCTGGTAATGGATCTTCAAAGACCACAAAATCTTGGATAGTCTTCCAATCACCCTCGTTAATTTCTCTATCATATAACTTAATCAAACCGGCATGATACAGATATGCTTGAACCATATCACCCTATATAGAAAAGGTTATGTTCCGAAATAACCAATATAATAAATTAGGAATTATTATAGTTAACAAACCTCTTCGTCCATGAGCATCATCTGTAACGAATCACGATTAGGAGTTCCTTGATCGATCCATTTCTTCAGTACCTTAACTCGGAGGCTCCAATTTGTTCTATCGAGATGCAAATCGTTGATATGGTCATAAGAAGCCATTACCCTAGTGTGTAGATTTCTGTTTGAAAGAGAGGAAAGTAATTTAATAAAATGGATGTTACAAAAGTTGGACGATAAGGATCTATTACTATTTGACAGGATATATAATAATTAAATTCTTAAAATAAAACCCTACACGTTAAAGGGATTGGAAACCGATTATGTAACCAATACGGTAATACAATTTACTTTATTGAAAGATTCATTCATTTTGGAAAAGGGTATATGCATCGGTCAATCAACTGAACTCTTTCTGCTAAGTATGCAGCTTTTCTGAAATTGAATATATTTAGGCAAACTCATATTAGTCAAACTAATTATTATGAGATGTATTGAATATAGTGAAATATGTTTTTCATAGTGAATAAGGATATAAAATATATCTAAACATAAAATCATACATATATTCCCACAAAAATACATTTAAGTATTTAGGCGAGTAGATTCATACAAATATTTCCATAAAAAATATCTTCAGTTGATTCATACATATATTTACATAAATATTTGTTTACCATAGTGTGTTTTTTATATATGATGTCTTTGGTAATTGTCGGTTAAATTAAACTATTTATAGTATGGTGTTTAAATATGAAATCCTTGTAATTTATATATGTTTTGTCTTTTAATTCATTACTTTGTTAATTCGGAATCATCAACTTGGAAAATTTACATATTGTTTGTCTAAATAATTATTCACTTTAAAAATTCATCTATGATAAATTGAACTGAATTAAACCAAGTATTATTGAGGTAGACAAAATAAAAAATATCATAAAGGTCGATAGAACAAAAAATTAAAATATAACAAATAAAATAAAAGTCTAACAGATAATCTAATTCGATATGTATCTGCTAGATTATTTTGAATGGTTTTCTTATTCATGCCGCATCCATGTGCTCATCCTCCATACCTACATAGTTCAACAAAAATATATTGTTAATATCAAAAAACATAAAATTCTTAATAGTATGTGCATTCATCAGTTCAAATATAAATGAAATGTCCACATAATCACGATTACCTATTTAAATCAATAGTATAGAGTGCACCTCCTACCATTGAAACATGTCCTTCTGACTATACATTTTCGACATAAAAAACGATCATACAATTCAATAGTTTTTCATAATTAGATATAAAAATATGATGACATATGTAACATACGTACCCTCAAAATGATTAAGTGGTTTAACCGTGGTAGAGATTATGAATTGAATCATTTTGTTGTATGATCGATAACTGTTACACGATGGTATTTGGATAACAGCAAATTCATCGATTCAAACCATGATCCCTCAATCAGTAAACAATCATACTTCTCAATCAATTTCTTTGTAACTCTGGCCTGGATCTTATTACCCTGTCAGAGAAAACAAAACACCAGTTATTAGCCATTAGTTTAACAAAATATATAAGTAGATTCTAATATAGATATCATATTTTTAACCTCGATATCTATCATATTCATATCAAGAGTAGTCCCTTTATGTCGACTGTAGTGCTTCCACTTCTTAATTAGTTTAAGACGCACAGTCCATTCTGTTGTAAACTGATCAAGATCCGAAACTTTGTCAATAAGAAGAGACATTTTGTTTTCTATTTAAGTCTGATTTAGAGAATGAGATTCTATATGTAAAAGATAAACATATATATATGAATTAGAAAGGAGTTAACGTGTTAGGGTTTTATTGATTAACTTAACTAATAAGAAATATATTAGGTAACAGAAAGATTATGAATTAACCAAATATTCGCAAATCTTGATTAAATTAAATACATGGTCATATATCTTATAGTCATGTACTAATCTCGGAAACTATAATAACAAAGATCATATATATATATGGCTACTATACTAATCATTTAGTATCTATACAAACATTCATATAATTTTTTATTTTAAATCTCATACAACTTCTTTCATTCAGTATATATATAAAATCACTAAGTGCTGAATAATTTGATCATGTAATACATAAAAGGCCATTTCAATGATTTCGAACAAATATATAACAAAAAATATCATTGTATACGAATTACAATTGTTTTGCATAGTTATAAAAACTTAAATGGTAAAAAATGTGGAATGATTATTCGCTCCAAGGAAAAGTTTTATATAAATTTTCCTGAAAATAAATTTTTCTTCCAGTTAGTAACAATTCATCATATATAAATCAAATATATAAAGAATATAAAAATAATAACTTACCAAATAGTTCTACTTGATAAGCTTCTGGAATATTTCTTTGAAGACAACATTCATGGTCTGTTTCTGTGGATTGCCTTCTTTGTCAACAATGAGAACCTTTACCCCTGCTTTAGACTTAACTCTGGATAGAGCAACATACAACTGACCATGTGAAAAAACAGGTCTAGGCAAATATAAACCAACACCTGAGAGTGTTTGTCCCTGACTTTTATTGATGGTCATAGCAAATGAGACCATCAATGGGAATTGTCTCCGTCTCATTCTGAAAGGGAACTTGCCTTCAGGAGGTGAAACAGACAATCTAGGTATATAGACTTTCTGACCGAGTGTATGCCCTGTTAACACAATTGCTTCAATGATGTGATCAGCTAGTTGAGTCACTTGAAGCCTGGTTCCATTGCATAACCCACTATTGGGATCAATATTTCTTAGCAACATGACAGGTGCTCCGACCCTCAACTTTATACAATGATTAGGTAAACCAGAAATCTTTATGTTATTCAAAAAGTCTGGAGTATAAACACTACTGTCATGATTGGAAGTATCTGATGGATCTATAGAATCTGAACTTAGATAAACTCTCTCTTCACCTGTTTACAAAAATGATCAGTTAATAAGCTATTATTAAAAATCATAGCACTACATATAATAAGCCAACAAAATACAAATAACGATTATGTATATAGATTATACCTCGAAGAGCAGACATCATGTAATCATTAATCGCGCATACATCATCATTAGTTGGACATAAAATTGCACTTTCCTGGAAAAAGTTAGGATCGTTTTGTTCTTCAAATCCTAATCCATAAACAGATTCAACAATAGCCTTAATCGGCTCATTGCACTCTGTTATCAAAAGTTCCTCGGGCATATCAATCATGATTCCCCTGTATTTGGTAGATTAACCTTACCATCGCCTACCCGAAGAATCCATTCAGAAAAAGATTTGATTTCTTCTGCAACACTTGCATCAATGTCTGCCAATAAACGCATGTTTTTTGTTAATTTCAAAACTTTACACTCGTCCCATAGATAAGAAGAACATAGAGATGCCCTTGTGATATCTTCTCTTCCACCACCAGTTATAACAGGCAAGACTTGTCGGAAATCACCACCAAAGACAACAACCTTTCCACCAAAAAGTTTATCTTTATGCCTAGGAATAACATCACGCATACTCCGATCTAAACTCTCAAAACAAAATTTACTCATCATAGGAGCTTCATCCCAAATGATTAATGAGGCCTCAGCCACTAATGCAGCTAAATCTGATCCTGGATGCATATTGCAAGTAGATAGCTCATCTGGATTTAAAGGAATTCCAAATCGTGAATGAGCTGTTCTTCCAGCAGGCAATAAAAGAGCAGCTATACCACTACTGGCCACGTTTAACACAATTTGTCCTTTAGAACGAATGACAGCAGACAAAATTTTCCATAAATGTGTTTTTCCTGTTCCATCAAACCCATACAGGAAAAAAACCCCACCTTGGTCTAATGTAACAGCTTCCATTATCTATGAGTATACTTTCATCTGCTCTTCAATTAAATCAGGAAGCATCTTATTATGGAGAGCAGACATCTCATCCTTATCATAATTCCTTTCATCGAATAACAATCGATTAATGGAAGCATTATGATAACCATCAGATGGAAGAGGCATACCATCAAAATAAGCCAAAGAACTTCCATTGCTACGCATAATTATCTCAATTGCATCCAATGTATAATTTTTGAGCTGGTCTTCAGAAAGGGTTAAATCTACAACAAACGATGGAAACAATTAATAAAATATAATATGATGGTTATGTCATAGATATATTTTGTTCCAAATATTTAAGGAAAATACCTTCTCTGTTTTCTAATCTCCTTCGTCGATATATGATATCATCTGAAAGAAGTTGCCAAGTCTCATTCCAAACTCCACATGGATTAAGAATATTATCCGTAATGAGCATAACAGCAAAAAGTTTCCTTAGGAAAGATCCGGATCCCCAAATGCTTGCTTCTTTCAAAGCTTCTATGTATTCAGTGTCATCATCTAGCAAACCCAAAGCATAACATGCATCCTTGAATGTAGGATATAAAACTTTGTCAACCGTTTTCAAAAAATCAAAACTGGTTGGACATTGGACCCTGTTTAGCAATACACGTAAATAGTAAAGCTGACCACATGATAGAGGAACATATGTTAGTCTCCCTATAGCCATACCCTTTTGTCTTGGCCTCCACTCAACCTCTTTTCTGTCGTATATAAACACTATTGGGAATTCGGCATAGGTGAGATTCTTCGATAATTCAGGATATTTGTCGCAAGCTTCAAAGAAAGCAAGTAGCATTGAACTCTGAACTGATCTGCGATTAAGAACTGTTTCTACCGGGTCATCATCACCATACACGCATGGTTGTTCTCCAGGAAGATGGAAATATAATTTTTCCACAGGCAAACTTCTATAATGTATTGCAAAAGCAAGTATACGCCAAGATGCTTCGCAAGCAGATACATATCTGTTGATATATTAAGCAAATTATAGAGAGTTAAACATATGAGGAAAACGACAATATAAGTGTTGAATACTTATAATTGTAAGTTCGAGAAACAATAAAAACCTGCATTCAAAATACTCTCTAATCTCATCTTTAGTAACTTCAGATGCGTCGTCACCATCCTCGTTCGCAAACTCACCAATGTCTTTGGCATTATTCTCGATAGTAGCTAAAACTCTATCAGGACCTTTGTGGATGTATTTGAATAAATACTTGATTGACCTAGCTTGTGTACACCACTCAACATTGATATATGCTCTATAACGCAAAGATAACTTCCTGTTATATGGAACAACCCAACTGTTATCAAGTCTGATACCATTTTTCTCAACAAAATCATCAGTTTGTCTCCTCATGTAATGTGGAAAACCAATGTTATCAACAACAGTCCGGTCACAGTATTTCTTTGGAAACATCTTGGAACACCGTCCATTTACCATGCATGGAGAACTCTTATTTATATTACCACATGGACCATGTATCATGTTCTGCTTCACAACTTCATATAACTCAGGATCAGTTTCTTTATTAGGAATCTCAGCTGATATTACTTTATCTATTGATTCAGGTGTAGGAAATTTGTATTTCGATGCCATCCAAATCAAAATATGAGCATGAGGAAGTCCTCTCTTCTGAAATTCAATTGTATAGATTCCTGTAAAATAGTATAATACATAATCAGTATCGTAAAATATATGATATTAGTATATGAAATGACATAAACTCGATTTACTAAAACATACCACAAACAGTTTCACCAAACAACTTTTTTTCAGTCAAATCTGTCATTAGGGATTCCAGCTTCATCTTGAATATACGATAACACATATCAGGCCTGTCTTCAGGTTTGAGATTTCGTTTCTGACAATACCTAACAATCTCTGGCCAGTTTGGATTGCAAGTGAAAGTGATAAATAAATCGGGAAATCCGAAGTATTTACAAATAGCCATTGCATCCAAGTAATTGTTATTCATGTACCTAGAACCACCAGTGAATGATGCAGGAATCAAAATACGTTTTCCAGTATTGGATAGATCACTTTGGCCTTCATTATGCGCTTCAACTAAATTTACAAACTTCTCAGACCTAAGTTTGACTTGGTTGTTCCTGAAGTATCGTAATCTATTAGCTTCAATCATTGTAAATACGTTGACCAAAAATTTCTGGTATAGTCGTTTAGACCGAATTATTGCCTGAGATTCCATCAACCTATCCTGAATTCGATATGAACAATATTCTCTCATGCTGATAGTCTTCCGTTTTCTGTCCTCTTTATGTGAAAAACCATCTTCAATACCAACTTGATAGCCATCTTCAGCGTAAGGAAATAATAGAGGATATTGCAGAGCTAGATAACCAACGTATAATTCATTGATTCTTCGAAGACTTCCATCCTTTGCTTCTAACATAATGTCTCTATTGTCTAACCCTTCTTCAAAATCACCAGGAATTAATGCAGCAACTTCCGTTGCAGTTGGCAAGTTATGTGTTCTAGCATCTTTGTCTCTCTTGGCTATTAGAACCATTCGGACAGTATCCTCAATATCTGAATTTTGGTACCTGTCCTTGTAAGAACGAAAAGCTTTAACCAACGGATTGCAATGGTTTAACATCTTCATCAAAGCTTCAATTAGCTCAGGCCGTAGCTTGTTGTCAATTTTACCATTCTTGCTGTAAATGAAAAATGTTAAAGCATGGTGAAAATTATTCTACGTAAACACAGTCAGAATTAAACAATGAATAAATAATTATGTACCTTAATGAAAGTTCTCTATTACGAATCTCATTAATTGTATCGTGAATATAAAGTTGTAAGAACTTGGGTTTTTCATTTGCATTAGGCATCAAACTACCAGTAAGATGGTAGTTTTCACCATGTAGCTGAAAAACCTGTGGTCCTTTACCTTTGTTTATATCATGATTTATTTTGCCTCCTATAGAGGTAAAAGAAAACATCATGTTATATGCTCTAATATTTTCACGGAAATGACGACAAATCTCATCGTCACTTTTGAAGAGATATAATAGTAGAGGAGGAGGTTGTTGTAACATTGGGAGCTTTACTTTTCCTTGCATACAACAAAGCGTGAAAATGTATGCCTTCAATTTTTTTTTCTTGTTGATCCTCTCGTTAAACCACATACGGGCAGAGCAGTGTGTACAATGATAAATAGGGTCGCCATCATCGTAGTACCCTATAACATGACGAATTATAATTTATTATATATCAGTAAACAGTAAGCTAATACATCCAAAGTCAACTACGTTACCATTAGGCTGAATTACAGGTCCAATATCTAATTGAGATTGAACAGTACTACATTCAGGGACGCCATGATCATTTGCAGGTGTATAATTCCTTTCTACACCTTCCAATGATAGTGTAGATTGTAAACCACTTGGATCATAGATTGTCGAAGATCCTGAAAACACAGTAATGTTTATGGAAGTAAATAATATAGAAAACTTTAATCATAATGACGATAACCAATAGTATACCTTACAATACACGACCATGATTAATAATATTGTGGAAAGAAATATGAATATATATACCTGAAGCTTGAATGTTTGCATGTCTCTTTTTCAAGATAACCTGTCTCCTATTAATCCTTGACAATCTTTGATTTTCAAAAATGGAATTGGTAATGTTACTTAGTGGATTACTTTGTGATTGAGGAATAGGAACATTGGATGTATCTATACAAATATTAAAGCAATATTAACAATTAAAATACGTCCAAAATTAAATTAAAGTATTTAACAATTAACCTATCAACTAATACATGATTATACCTTTCTTTTTCCTTACTGATTTTTTTCCATGGTTGTTAGATAAAGTAGAAGTCGATGAAGTAACAGAGCCTATTTTCATAAACCAACTTATCAAAATGTTAGATAAGATAAAAGATAATTTCTATGTCATATACATCATAATTATAAATAAAGATTTGAACATATTTAATACATGATACCTGATTGCGAAGTAGTTTTGGGTGATTTATTACATGGTTGCATTGCTTTCTCCATAGCAGAGTTCCAAAACGAAACAACTATTAATTGATAATATGAAGGACACAATTGTGATAGAGCAATCTCTTTAATTAAGCAAGTATATAAAAAATCAGAATATAACAACTAAGTTATTAAGGATACGGGTAGACTCAATCTTTTCACATGTGTTGTATCTTGATGGATCATCTCTTAGTTTTGCTAGTTGATGTAAATCAAAAAATGAAAAACTCACTATATAAAACCCAAATGATACAATAGAGATTGAATTGAAAGAAATATAAACGTATGTGCAGTTCTAGAAATTTTAAATGGATAACTCAATTCTATATTTTTATTTCTTGAACTTGAAGGTCCATCGTTGAATTTGAGATTTCTTGTGACATCTGTCAAGTTTCTATCGGGTAAAACATGATTTCCAACAATAGGTTGATCTAATTTTTCTGAAAATGAATATGAAACAAAGTAGTCATAAGTATTTAACATTTTTTAAAAAAATAAACAAAATATTAAACTAAATATATAAAAATAAGCTTACTTGATTGAGTTTTTTTCCTTGTGGTCGTATCAGGATTTTAGTTATATGTGATATTTGAGTATCCTGATGTAGAATATCGACTATCACAAATATTTGCTGTTGGTATAGTTGGCAGAAATTGATTTGAGCCATAACATGGAGTGACTGGACTTGCTAGATATTATAAAGAAAATAATTTAGTTATAAAAGAGGTTTCATTAAGTTACCACTAAACATAAAGAAGAAGGGTTAAAAAAAAATTTTTGTGTACCTGTGTAATTTTATTTTCCTGTTACTGATGTTACAGGAGAACAACAAAATTTAAAGATAATGCAGTTGTCAATGAATAAATTGATTACAATGAAAATAAATAAACTACGTACTTGGACTAAGTTGGTTCTTTTTAGGATAACTTGAAGCACTGGGGCCAGTTCGGGTATTACTGATATCTCCTAATATATTTCGGAAAACACCAGGAATTGAAATTGGAACTGGCAATGCTTTTCGTTTAGGGGTAACTTCATTCTCCCCATTGGCATCTGTATATAATAAAAACATCGATGTTTCAGTCCATGTTTATTATCTAATTACCAAACAATCATAAATAGTTGAGCAATATAAGTTGTTCAATGATGTTTCATCTTGGCCCATAGGAAATAAATATAATACGTACTCAAACTACATTGATTCCTTTTCCGAGTACTTGAAGTGGTCGGGGGGTTCTGAATATTAATGATATCTCCAACGTTATTTTCGAAATCATCAGGATTTGAGATAGGTACTGGTAATAGTACTCGTGCAGGGGTAACTTGAATATCTCCATTGTGTTCTGTAAATAATACAAAAATATATGTGGAACTTTTAGATAGAACATTTATAAATCGGATTCTTAAGTAATTTTTTGTACTTTCTTAAGAATATACAAACCCGAGTATAAATTTGAGTTTATTAGCGAATGAACCATAACTTTTATACCTGGGTTAATGAAATCCAGTTTAGGTCTTTTGGTTAAGATGTGATGATATTTATCCATTGCAGAAGACGAATTTTTGTTTTTTTTCATTTTTCTACAGATTTGTGAGAATGTAGAGAATCGATATATCTGTAGGATATATTTAATATTAATAATTTAAAAGTAGTATGCATCTTAATAGGATAGTTACAATATTCTAAAGATTTGTTAAGATTACAAATATATTGAGAATTTATCTAAACATGGAAACTTTAGGAATTAGTTTAAGTTCTTTTAATTATGATTGGTTGTGTTAATATTCACCAATTAGCATCTATATACGACAGAAATAGTAGTTACGATCGTTTTCCTATTTTTGTAAAATGTAAATATATTTCTAATTTTATATTTAAATACAGAGTTGTTTTAGGATACAACTGTACTTGTAAGTGCTAAAAAAATATATGTATTGCCAAAGTATTAATGACTCCAAATATCTTGCATGAATGTTGTAAATTTTAATTGCCATGCAGAATTTCTTTTCATATTAGGCTTGAGTTTGGCGAAACCTTCTGTACATGCAGGTATTTTACTTTGTTATTTATACTAATAAATTAAAATTCAGCAGTTACTAATTAAGTAGCAAAATATAATATAGTTTAAAATTCCTGCTTTTATTAAACTTCAAATAACAAACCACCGCAAAACTGAAAACTGAAAAAGACAAATCCTACGGGCTAGGAAAAAAATAACCGAAACTTAAACAATGAGATATTGTAGTCAATCCTAGAAAACAAAGCAAGCAGGAGAATGCATATTGTTAAAGAAACGAAGACTTCAGTCATCAACTTTCTCCTTCTTAACAGGCTTCAGATGAATCTTTACTTCACTCGCCAAAGCCTTCATGTCGCCATTAGCAGCTTTCTTAGAAGTAGACTGCTCTCCATTATGATCATCAAAGTCAATTATCTCATCGCTTTTCCTTTTTGACTGTGGTGAATTATCATCGTCGCCAATGTCAAGTAACATCTTAGCAACCTAAAATGACAAATTTAAACAAATACGTTTATGCACATTCATATAATATTAATGAGAGCTATCTAATTCCTAAATAGCAAACCTGTTCATCGGGAGTTATAAACCCCATTTCCTCAGACTTGACATCAGGGGTAGTCTATAAATAAAAAAATAAGTTAACAAAGATCAAAAGGCAATGAAATATGAATAAATACTAATAGGAATAAATAGTTTAGGGATCAAACCAAAAATCTGGATATTTCTGAGAATTCTTTGACCATGTCACTTTGGGTCACAATCTTTGTAACTTTGTAAACATCACTGTTGAAAACGATGTTTGAACTCTCAATAGATAGCTTGATCAGAAAAGTTTTCCCACAAATGTTACTAATTGGAAGAGGGAGTACATCTGGATCTTGGATCTGCAAGCAGTTTAGCAAACATATAAGCATATCTAATATATATAGTAAGATTCACTATAATAGAGTTGATAGTAATCTGCATAACTACCTCTTCCATAGATTCAGTCAATTGTGCAGCTGTTTGATTTACAACTTCCATGGCAAGCTTATCAAAGAGTAAGAACTTTGTTTCGCCAGTGTTGTCCATAACACGGAAAGTCAGCATAAACCTATGTTAGCATAGAACAACATATGAATATGAATATATATGGAAACTACAAATATTCTTTTTTTTTCTACAAATTGCATCCAAGACTTACGCTGGTACGACACTTTCAACATCATCCTTACATTTGCCACATTTCCACAACTGTTTAGGAAATGGCCTACCAGGATATTGCTCTTTCAACAAATCCATATCAAGAGGAAGCACCTTTTTAGAGCATACTTTGCATGACATATAGTACCATCCAAACTCAGTGTCAATAGACATGATGGTAGCCATAGTCACACATTTTTCAACCTAATAATTGAAGCATTACTTTCTTTTAAAAACCCAATCGCCATTTGTTGTTTAAGAAATATGTATATCACGCAAAATAAATACCTCAAATGCACCAAGTATTTCACTTATTGTCCGGCGAGGGGTATGTAAGAAGAAATCATCTCTTACAGAAACAGAATTGACAATTGTCAATTGGTTAGGGTGTGTGTATGACAAAGTCACATCATCTTTTGGTAAGCTGTAAAGGAAAAAAATCATGGATTTTAGTGACATGAAAGTAAACTAAATGGAAAATTGATAAAAGTTATAGATATGAATATACCGGTTTCTAAAAGAATTTATTTCAAAGAGATCAGGATCTGTCATCACAATGGAAGAACTGTAACAATTGCCAATACTCCATACACCTAAATAATGAAATGTCTTGAAAGTTATATATATTTTTAAAAACGATATTTTGTTTGTTAACAAAAAACATTTTTCTCGTACCTTGATACAGTCTTAACTTTCCAAATCTTAACACAAAACAAATGATAGCATTAGTTGCATGTGTAGCAACACTCTCCAAACTTTCGGCATAATTCCCCCAGAGAACACAATTCAGGCGCACATCACTAAAAAAACAAAAAATATATTAGACGTCTTATTAACAATATTTAGGTGTCAAAGAGAATTAAAAAACCTGGTGTCACGAAGTGTCATTGTTAAAAGTTTGGTCAGTTTTTTGTTAACGTAAAGAATCTCAACCTCACCAATACTAACAATTTGTCCAACAATATCTGCAAAATAAAAACATAAACCAATAATTAGATGTAATATGCTTTGGTTCATATTAGTAATGTATGCGAGATATAAATATACCATTTATCTATTAGAAAATCAGGATTCAACTTGCCCTCGTGAATATCAGCGAAGTTCACCAACTTCAACCCAAGAATTGTGGCATCCAGATCTTCAGAAGGTCTGATAGACGTCGTGGCAGCAAACTGGATCTTGTAAACATGAGAAGTAGTCCTGAACTTACCACCGTTGTGAGTGACTTGAAAATTAGTGATGATCTTAGTAATTCCTTCCTCTAGAAGATTTTCAAATTTTTTTATGAACTGCTTCTTCATACTAACATGCATAGTTTGATTCTGCATGGCAATATAATAATAAGCAAAACGTTAAATAATATATATATGATCAAAATGGATCATGAATATCGAACAAACAAAGTACAAAACAATACCAGTTCATCGACAGCGACCATCTCCATCGTCTCGATCCCATTCAAATACTGTTTCCACAACTTCAGTATCTTGACACGGATCCTCCATTGAGTTTTGAATGGCTTTAGGGCAGTGAGGGATGTGAAGGTCGACATCGCAAACTTTGCAAGAGGGAGTATGTAAGCTAAATATTGCTTAGCTGGGATGATGAATTCGATATCAACAGTGGTAACTATATATAGCGAAATGATGAATGGGGTGAGTCTAGGGTAAATCTTCGATACAATCTTTAGAAGAGGTAAAATATTGTAGGCGGTCAATTATGAATTTAAATTTGAAATGACGTTGAAATTTGATAGATTTAGGCAATTTTGATATATTCAATTTGCAATATTGCTCGTTTTCCATAAAGGGTCTATTTTGTTTAATTACTTCTACATATTCGGAAATACGGAATATTTTGATTTAGGTAGATACAGTGCATCTAAAATATATCGGAAATATAGGGCTTGTTTAGACTATCCAAACAATAATTTAAAATTCGGTTATATAATTTCAGATTGATACGGTTACGATAATATAGGAAGGTAATATAATCATTAACTGATAAATTTGGAATATGCATACATTGATTCCATTTATGCTTAATCATTTAATTGTGTCGAGAAATTTGGAGGAAAGTTTAAAGTAGAGTTATGATTTCTTCATTATTACGGTTATTAAATTTTGAAATTAAATGAACCGAGATTATGGGATCACGTATATTGACACATTAATGTAAACAATATTGTAGCTAAGATTTGAAATTTATGAAGCGGGAATATGTGATCATGTATATTGGAGTGAATATAATTATAATTATCAATTGTATAAATACATACCTCATTTGTATACTAGTAATTATGTAGAATAATAAAATTTGTACTTCTCAGAATGTTGATTTATGATATGAATGTGAATATAAATTTTGCATAAAAATAAGAAAATAAAGATAGTAATAATTTAAATTTAAATTTTGTTAATCAATCGATTGCTTTGTCCATTTATATTAGTATATAGTTGTTTTGTGTTGAAAATAAGGTAAATGAAATGAAAATTATGCATGTATAAATCATAAATTTTAAAGAAGTCAGTTGAGCTAAATAAGGAAAACGAATGAAAAAATTAGTAAATAATAAATTAAATTCTAATTGACAGAAGGATATAAATAAGGAAATAATCATAGGTAAAATATAATGAATTATTTAAAAGAAAAATGCTGAGAAAAATTGTGGGAACGACACCTCAGCAAAATGGCCTCCAGATTTCTCCAAATTGTGGGAGGATAATTTGCATCAATATTGTATGGTAAAAATAAAATATGACTTCGAATAATAAAACACAGGAACTCTTGATACAATACCCCTTACGAAAAAGGCTCGTGGCTCCTTGATACTTGCTAACGGCTTTTCCATAACATCAAAAGTTCCATTTGACATGTTAAAATATAATAAAATTATATATTATTTGTTTGGAATCTCGGAGTATAAAAGAATAACTTACCTAAAACTATAGTATTTTCATTTTTTTAAGGAATCATATTGTGATTCGTAACAAAGGGTTAAATAATTTGGATAGTCGAAAACACTAATTAATGACAAATTAAGGTTCAATTTAAGCACGTAAGGTTATGTCAAGCAGTAATATATTCCACGATAGGTTTTTTAAAATAAAAATAAAAACGTTCGGAATACTGTACATTAATTTTATTGAAAACGTAACTTTTGCAAACGTCAGAATATGAGATATAACCTTCCTCGTATAACCCCTAAGCGGAATACATTAATCAAAGTAAGTTTTAACTTAATTTCGCCGTCACAAAAATAAAAAAGTCTTAACATAATTTCGCTCGACACAAAAAAAAGTTCTACCTTTAAATTTCTTCCTCCGGCGAATCAGAAAGTTCCCCTTTCTCTCGCCTTTTTTTTTCCCTCGTATCGTCTTCGATTTTGTTTAATTTTTAGCCGAATTTGCGATTTCTCACAACAAAAAAGAAAAAAACTCTGTTCCTAATTCCCCGTACTGATTTTGTTCACTCAAAATTCAGATTTCATTTATTTTTAAAAGTTTCGTCTTCTTCTTCATTTTGGTTTGAATTTTCTCCGCACACGAGAGTTGAAATTTCCTTTTTTGGGGATTTTCGGGTCTTAGGGTTTTTCTTCTCAGGAGACAATCAAAGATGAGCGTCGCGAAATCCCAGGTTTGGCAGCCATGCAAGAAGAAGAGATCCTGAAGAAGAATCAATAGAGATCTATATCTACATCGACAAAGAAGATATTAGGGAGATAGAGAGAGAGACAAAGAGAGATGGCTTCTCGAGCAACACCTTCGCGATCGACTCCTTCTCGATCGACGCCTTCTGGTGGTTCAGGTATCTCCCGGACCCGAGTTGGTAAGTACGAGCTGGGAAGAACTTTGGGAGAAGGAACCTTTGCCAAGGTCAAGTTCGCGAGGAATGTTGAAAATGGAGAGAATGTGGCCATTAAAATCATTGATAAAGAGAAAGTTATGAGAAACAAGATGATCGCTCAGGTATGTAAATCCGCTGCTTTCTTCTATTTCGATTCGGATTTTACGCAAAAGTTAAAACTTTTTGATTTGGGGTTTGTTTCATGTAGATCAAGCGTGAGATTTCGACAATGAAATTGATCAAGCACCCGAATGTGATCCGTATGTTTGAGGTTTGATCTAAACTTCTTCTTCTTCTTTTGTTTACTCGTTGCTTGCATGTTTAGAATCTAGAAGCTTAACTTTTTTTGATCTAGATTCCTACAATATTCTGAGATTCGTTTGAAGTTTATGGAACATAAGTGGTCCCTGGCCAATCTCATAGATGTATATATATATACATAATATTATTCTATGTATTCTTTTGGTATCTTTGTAGTTACCGATTCTCTCTTCTTCAGGTGATGGCCAGCAAAACTAAAATCTATTTCGTTTTGGAATTCGTTACTGGTGGAGAGCTTTTCGATAAAATTGTAAGCTTTCATTCCATTGAAGATGGCTTTTTTTTTCTCCTATGTAGAAAATGAGATCTCGAGTGAAGAAGTACTAATGACTTGATTCTCTAAATATGTAATTAGTCAAGCAATGGGAGGTTGAAGGAAGATGAGGCAAGGAAGTACTTCCAGCAGCTTATTAATGCGGTGGACTATTGCCATAGCAGAGGAGTTTATCACAGAGACCTTAAGGTTAGGAATCTTATTTTCTGATCTTGCATAGTGTTCGGAGTTACGGTTCAATGTTTTAACTTAAGTTGCACCTTCTGGTTGCAGCCGGAGAATTTGCTTTTGGATGCAAATGGTGCTCTGAAAGTGTCTGATTTTGGATTGAGTGCTCTACCTCAGCAAGTCCGAGTGAGCATTGATATATTGATTTCTTATTCTGTTGTTTCGATGTAAATGTCATAGCATGATAACTCAGCTACTATGGCGTCTAAGGAGTAAGTTTTCCGTGAGTCATCAGAGCTAATTTTGTGACCCTTCTTCTTTAGGAGGATGGATTACTTCACACAACATGTGGAACGCCCAATTATGTTGCTCCGGAGGTATTATTTACTTCTACTGTAAACTGACACTCAATTGTCTTGATAAGCGTGAAACCAGTCTATTCGTTTCTGGTCTCAGTAGCCATCTATGTTTGTCTCTCTAGGTAATCAACAACAAAGGTTACGATGGAGCCAAGGCTGATTTGTGGTCTTGTGGTGTGATTCTCTTTGTCTTAATGGCCGGATATTTGCCTTTCGAAGATTCTAATCTAACGTCACTATATAAAAAGGTGTTACGCTTTATTCTTCTTCGTTTGCTTTTATTTTTTCCTTTCTCTGATGCATATCCATTATGAATGCTATGGGCAAAAGGGTTTCAAGTTTTGCACTTCTAGCATGCGTTATTTGGGTGTATGGGAGTCTGTCAATTGTTTTGAAGGCTCAAGATGTATATAGCATAAAATGGAAGTATGGAACCTGATTCTTCTTTCATCATGATTACAGATATTTAAAGCCGAATTTACCTGTCCTCCCTGGTTCTCTGCAAGTGCTAAGAAGTTAATCAAAAGGATTCTGGATCCCAATCCTGCAACGGTATTTTCTTCTTCCCCTTTTATGTTTAAGGTCCTTTGTATTATGCTGTTTTAAGAGGCAAAAACATTTATTGGATTGAATAGATCTCAAGTCTTTCTTACTGAAATTTTTTATGTTGGACAGAGGATTACATTTGCTGAAGTCATACAAAATGAATGGTTTAATAAAGGGTATAAAGCACCTAAATTTGAGAATGCTAACGTCAGCCTTGATGATGTTGATGCGATTTTTGATGAATCAGGGGTAAGGCTTATGTTTTTAGTTGGTTTATCAAATTTTTATGAACTTTTTCTTGAATGAATACTTAGCTTGTTTTTGTCGGTTAACAGGAGTCTAAAAACCTTGTTGTGGAGAGGCGAGAAGAAGGACTTAAAACACCAGTAACTATGAATGCTTTTGAGCTCATCTCAACATCCCAGGGTCTCAACCTCGGTTCACTTTTCGAAAAACAAATGGTACAGATTCCTTATAGCTTACAAGTAAAGCTTTTTCTTAGAACTAGTCATACACTCATACTTGATGAGAAGTCGTTTTGCTCCAAAACTGTAGTGACCAGTTCTTTTCTTGAGAATCCCGTATTTTGTTTAGTGGAGGTAGTCATTCTTAGTAATAAGCATCTTCTGATTTCAGGGGCTTGTTAAACGAAAAACTCAATTCACTTCCAAATGTCCTGCTAATGAAATAGTCACAAAAATTGAGGCCGCAGCAACACCTATGGGATTTGATGTCAGGAAAAACAACTACAAGGTTGGAATACTGTTATACACATTCACCGCTGCTGTAAAATTGTATTTATTCATTTGATGCTTATGATTACACCCTTATACCATTTCTTGACACTCATCCAGATGAAGCTTCTAGGAGAGAAATCAGGCCGCAAGGGTCAGTTAGCAGTCACAACTGAGGTTAGTTTTTGCTTAGTCGCCAGTGAATTGATCAGCCCTTTGTATGATGTCTCACGGTGTTGGATGAACGCTAATATCAAGTTAATTGACATCTACTCTCAGGTTTTTCAAGTTGCTCCATCGCTTTATATGGTTGAAATGCGAAAATCAGGGGGTGACACCTTGGAATTCCACAAGGTATTCATTCATATGCATCTTATGCTCTCTTATTATTGTGGCCTTGTGGGTTTGGTCTGAACAACTTGATAAACTTTTCCTTTCCTTGGTCTGTTTTTTTTTTTCCAGTTTTACAAGAACCTCACCACGGGTCTTAAGGACATTGTTTGGAAAACAATCGACGAAGAGAAAGAGGAAGGAACCGAAGGTAAGCATCTTCATTGAAATATTCTGTTAGATAAGCCTCGAAAGTATCAAAATAATGAAGAGATGAAACAACAATGGGAAAACATCTAAACACCAAATCTTGCTTTGTTTCTTTTAGTTTCAGGTGGTACTACTAACGGTGCTGTGGTTGCTTCTTGATACCGAACAGTTAAACAGTCTGCGTGTACTGGTGTTTTACTATAGATTTTGTTCGTTATAAATTACTATAGTACTGGGTTTGGGGAGTGATTTTGAAATTATACAAAGAAAGCGTCAGAAAGTGTAGCAAAGCTGAAAGTTTGAACATGTATTGAGGGTGTTTTTATAATCTATAATCTTGTTTGAATCCATGGAATGTTGTGAATAGCATATGCCTATGTGGGTATTCTTGGCTTGAATCCAATAAAACGGAAAGTAAAAGCTATACAGTGTTTGTTGATTTGAGAATCGTTTTCGTCATTCACTATTCAGTTGACATATAGATACTTGTACAAGTAGACCAAAAAAAAATGAATACTTGTAGTTGTGTGTGAAATTGCCTTCGGCTAAGAGCCAATCACGGTAGAAGCAGATGGGCACAGGAGGTCGAAACTTCATATAGATTACGGTTTATTACTTCATTGTTGACATATGTTACCTTAAAACTATTTATCGAATACGATTTGATCCTCGTGTGTGAAATTTTGATTCAATAGTACTATTTCCTCTATATAATATAAAACTATCAACTACTTATCTAAAAAAAATAATGAAGACATTTGGAAGTTATCTAAATATCTTAATATGGTTGCTTCCAAAATGTATTCTAAGTTCTATATCGTAGACACAATGGGCTAAGAGAATGATCTAAGATTAGATGGTAACCTAACTAATGTTTTCTAGCTTTTGTACAAAAATCAGTGTAGATTCTATCTTCACACTCTGATAGTCTTATCCGATATCAATAAAAAAACAAGAAGAATATAATGCTGATCGAAAAAAAAAGTTTTGGGTATATTTGACATAAAATAGTTTTCGTGATTTTATGTGTGTTTTTAGTTTTTTTAAAACAAAAGTTGTTGCTTGCTCTGTATCTATTATCAAAAACAAAAGTAACTTAATTTGTTTTTTCTTATCCAGGTTCTATTCGTTTCACGCATTACTTTGTTCTTTAAAGTAGTTTTCTAACAATTTGTTGTTTTCTGTACATAAGAACATCGACAATGGGAGGCACAAATGCAATGCAACACATGGGAATGTTCACATGACTTTTACAATCATTAAAAAAAAACAAACTATGCTTTTCCATTTCTTATTCTTCTTACATTATAAACCCACTCTACACATCTCCGGTTTAATACAAACCAGAAACGATTTGCGAATTTCGGTTTAGCATGAGAGTCCTTCATTTGTTACGTACACAGCCCATGCTTCCTACAATTCCAAAATGCACAGCTAAGAGTTATTGACCAGAGCAGGAACCAAAGCTTACAGGTTGAACCAATTCCCGGTTTTGTTCGGTTTAATATCAAAATCGGTTTAATACCTGAAGAATGGAGAATACTCTGCTCGCTACAGACTTCTGAAGTGGCGAAGTTCCTCCTCTCTGTTGAAGTTTATCTGGATGTAAACAAAGCCGAGCTTTTTGGTAAGCTTTCTTCACTTGTGATCCATCTCGAAGATTTGCCAAAGGAATCGCGTGCCAATTGCTATTTGACCAAAGAACCTGAATAAAAATCCCGGTTTAATTGGTTTAGAAATCTGCAAATTTTCAGGAATCATAGGCTTCTAAAACAACTCTACTTCCAATGTGAGACATTCAAATAATAATCGGTTAACGAAACCGGACCGGTTCTCATGACTTACATGATGCAAAGTTGAGAGGAGGAGTCTAATGTTGGACTCTTTTCCGGTTAACCATACTCTTATCTCTTCATCTTTAATCTCCATCTCCATCTGCAATTATTCAACTGTCAACATCAGATTCTTATCTCCACTGAGAAATTAGTTACTGATTTTTCCGGGAAAATGTTAATTAAACTAACTAACCTCTTCTTCTGATTTGGCTCCCTCTTCGCTTCTTATCGAATCCATTAAGTCTTCCTCTGTTTGCTTTGCTTCTGGTCGTTGAGATCTCTCTTTAGCCCAAGCTATTGCTTCATCCATGTCGTTCGAATCCGAGTTTCCTCCTCCTCCTCCTCCTCCACTTCCTCCTTCTCTGTAACGATCAAACCGATCTGAATTTATCTCGATTACGTAAGAGCTCATCTCTTCTTCTTCTTCTTCTTCTTCTTCCTCTTCGACTTTACAGTCTCCCGTAGTTCTCTGTTTTGCCTCAGTGTCGTCTTCTTCGCAGATGAAGGAAGAAACAGGGGAAGATGCCGGAGAGCTGGGTCCGAAATCATCCATTCTCCTGAAGGAATTCGGATCCAAGCTCATTGTCTCCGGCGAGGCTCTCCTAGATCCGCTAAAGTTTGGTTTTTTGTAGTAAAAATCTGATTTTTCCGGTGTGTTATCGTGGCCGGATAATGAATCACCGGATGTTGGAAACGCCGGGAAACTCTGTTTCTTTGATTCCCGCTTATGACTTCTCGACGGGACGTTTAACGGTCTAAACAAAACAAACACAAGAGGTTAAAATTACTTAATTGACCTCGAGAGATGCTATAGAAAGTGGACTAATGTGGAGGGTAAAACGGTAGTTTTAACTCACCTAAGTCTAGAAGTAAAAGAAGAAAACCCAGCGTCGTCGCCGGAAGTCGCCGCCGGCGGAGGATAATGAGGACTAACCTCCTCGGAAGTAAGCACCGACGAGGAATTCGACCTCGATTTCGCTTTCGGGCTCTGCTTTTTGGAACCCTCTTTCGTCGTCCCGCCGCCGCGACCGCCGAAAACGCCGTCGTAAAATCCATCTCCGCCGGAAGGAATCCTGAACGCCGGTAAGTTTCTGCCGTGAGATTTAGAAGACGGGAGAGTGCCGCCGGAGAAATTCCCTGGCGGACGGAAAACCTCGTCGTAGAAACAGTCGGAACGAGAAAAGTCGCCGGAGAATTTTCGGGTGAGGACGCTTCTCGGAGGACCGCCGAAAACGTCGGAGAAATCTTCGGCGTCGATTCGAGCGTCCATGGATTTTCGAGCAATGGAGAAGAATGGGTCAACGCCTGAACCCATCTTCATACGCCACGATTCGTCCATTTCGCCGATGAAGCTCTGTTTTTTTTTTCTCTGGTCACTCCAAGAATGAAGTAAAGTGAGAGAGTTTTTGTGTTGTAACTTGTGTTGTACATGGAACGTACATATCACATATGTATATATATATATAGTAGACAACGAGGAAAACAAAATTTATTTTAATTATTTTCTCATGTGTGGATTTTATTCGTTTTCAATTCTTTTTTTCTCCTGATCTGAGAGAAAAAAAAACACTGAGGTTGTTACGGAACATTTAAGAACTTTTTGCTTTAACCAAAAAAAAAAAAAAATTAAGAACTTTTTGTCAAATGATCGATCTAATCTGAAGTATGAATCTCGTACTCATTTGTTACTAAACTCCAATTTTTTAGGCTAATTAGTACCCCCAAAGAAAACTACTTTTACATCATTAAATGATTTTGATTCAAGGTTTAACATATGTATACACACGTACAGCTGCACAGGTAAAGGTTTCATTGACTTTTTTTTTCTTGTGTCTGAGAATAAAGTCAATGAAATTCTTTCTATCCTTTTTCCTCTTGGTCTGAATAAATCTGAGAGGGTTTTTTTCTGTCAAATATTACAAATCTTTATGTTGATTTATTTTTGCACGTGTAAGAGCAATATGCTAATGCTATATTAATATTGGAGTAATAAATAAGAGCGAAAACTGTAAATCATATATGTAAGATACAGATTTATTCTTTTTTTGTCATCAAATAACATAGGCTGTTGCCACTTGGAGTCCCTGCTCTAAAAGACATGATTTAATGGTTTCCCTTTTGTTTAGCTGTATCATAATTTTCTCTTTATTTATTCTTCAAAAAAACAATTCATAATTTAAGTTTCAGTTATTTTTGGGTGATAGTGGTCCTAGTGGAGTGTAAAACCAAAAACAAATCTCATCTATTAAGCTTAATTTTTTTTCAATATTTTACAAGAAATTATAATTTTGGACCCTACCTCCTAAAATATCTAACATGATATTTATGAATCCGATGTTGTTTTTGCATTGTGAAAAAACTGAAAACAAATATCGGATTACCATGTCTCTCATTAATTTTATTAAAGTATCATGTGTTTCGTTTGTTGCATTGCCAAACGACTTACAAATTACAAAGACCGAACTACAGATCTATAATGTATTAATGTGAATATATATTCATAGAGATGTATTATCGAATAAGGAAATATTTCTACGTTTCGCACTTATATATGTTATATAATAAATTTTGATAAGAGTACTGTTATACAATATATTCATAGAGTACTGTGTTTTTTAAGATGTAATCGTCGTATATGATGTCAACATGCAGATGTTAAAAACAAAAAGATGTCAACATGCAAAGACAACAAATTCGTGTAAAGAAAAATCAGGTTCGACAAAAAAAAAACAATCCAATTTTTATAGAAGAATTTTAGACAGTTTGACATGTCTAATGACCAATATGGTTGTCTATGTGAAAATATAAAGTTTGATGACTACTATTACATTTTTGTTTTTGACAATTCAAGATAACCATAAATATTAAACCGAGCATTTTTAAATGTAAGTCTGTTAATTGATACTCACTTCCTATAGTATCCTAATACTGTATGTTAAAACGTTTTATATATTAAGAGCGAAGTGGGTGAAGGAATGACATATACCCTTTGGAGGGGACAATGCATGCTATAATTTGATGTCAATAAACTTTCTTCCCTACCAAAAAGCCATACCCTTCTTACTTTCCAACACATGCTTATCGTTATTACCAACTAATTCTAAAGAACCATCGTTAATTTATTATCTGATGTCCCCGAATGGACAGATCATTAAATTATCATTTATATAAGTGGCGGTGCCCAGTTTTTATTTTTATTTTATTTTATTTTGTTTTGTAAGCAATCGTGTTTGGCCTTTTGGGCGTATTACCAAGCTACTCCAATAGTGATTACAAATTTACAAGTATCCCCTACGATGAATTTCAAAGCACATATGTTAAGCTAAATCTACTTAAATGAACAATTGTATTATTTACTACTATTTAATAAGTAAGAAAATAGTCAGATAATAGTGGTTTTGGAAAGTATTTTCCTTTTCGGGGCTAGCAATTGAAACGGGCATTATTGTGGAAAATTGTTGTAGGTGGGCTGAGCACATCCTTCTTTTTGTAATTTTAATTAGGCCCGTTAGCAAATCGGAGAGGCCCAACAAGCTCAAAGAATAACAAGCCCGTTCATAAAGCTAAAACGAGGTCGTTCGAAGAGATGAGCTTCCCATAACAAAGGAGCAG